GAAGCAAAAACCAGCGACAAAAATACAGGGCCGCGTTTTTCTATTACATTGAAGACCACATGCAAAAATTCAAGCCCTTTCGCGAAAATTTTTTTTTTTACCCAAATCATCACTTAGCATGGTTTTGCACTCACCCCTTCAATTAATTTCAGAGGGAAGAATACAATATAATGAGCACTTTCCATCCAACCAAAAATTCCAGAACTTTTGAAACAGAGGCAAATGGTATGGAAATGAAAACTGGACTTTTGGTTGAATGGAAAGTTCCCATTATTATATTTTCCAAGGTTTTGATGCTGGCAATCCTATCCAACAACATGCAAGCCAGGCAAATTGCAACAACCATCACTGAGAGCCAACTAAATCATAAACACATACAACAGAATCCCCTTCCTGTATTTCTCTCTATTGACTGCTACACAATGATCTGCCAAACATCTCTAAATAGGATTTACTGACACACATTTTTCATATTTTAGAGCTGTCAATCTTCTTCAGCACTACCTAACAACAAATATGCGTAGTAAGCGGAATTGTAAAAAAAGGAAAAAAATATGAGGATAAAATGAACAGACTTCAAAAGCAAACATGACTTTATTACAGAAACTGTACAAAAATGTTTATACACCCACAAAATGTGCAAAAAGTCACTCACCATTTTGTCCATCCCTTTGGGTCCTAGACTCGTTCTTATGGCATCAGCAACCGCTGGAAAAACATAACATCCCTCGTAAGCTTTCATATCCAGAATATCATAGTTAATGAGGATTTGCTCACCTTTCGCTGCAGTAATGTTGCTCATACGAATCTCAGTGGGCTTGTCCTTGTCTTTGAATGCACCCTGCTTATTACCAGCTCCAGAACTTGCATTATTTGACTTCCCTTGCATTTCAGGCATTGTGACTGAATTTTCCAATGTATATTTTTACTATGCAAGGATTGAGGAGACTGACAAAACGATCTAAACGGCCGATGATTACGGATTCTGTTGCTAAGTTCCAAATGTTCTCAACAATCGTCGTGCTCGTCCCTCAGAGCCACATCGGCAGGAAATGAATCCGCAAAGACTGCTGTTCAGCGGTTCAAATTCGTGTGAGCGTACATGACATAGTTGAAGGAGGTCAGCTCGTGCAATGTCTAAAGCATGAGTTCTTCAAAGAAAGATGACTTGAAAAACGAACCGTTAGATAAACTGCCTGAACCAGAACCTACACCAGAGACAAAGGTACTGTAAGCTTTTATTATAAAACTTATTTAAATTCATGTCGTCGAAGAATTGAAGATGTTCGACAAATGCCCGGTCTCCAAGCAGTCATAAGATTTCAAATGTCCCAACTAATGATTTAGATGTGAGCAAATGCACAGCTGTTGTCCAGAGGGGAAGGGACAGAGTGGGCACTACTGGAATTAAGTAATACAGAAGATTCACTTCGCTGTGCTGTTGTTTATACTTTCCAGGAGGAAACAAAGGACTCGTCTTCATTTATGCGCAAGTTTGACATAAAATTTAGAGATGACTGTGTGTCTTGCAAGTATATCAGTGCCGCTGTTTGCTACGGCTGTGGAGTAATTGTGTTGCAAACTGTCAAAAGTATCCCAGCTTCAAACCTACCAGCAAAGGTGATGACTGGAATTTTTGGTGCAGGTATGTTGAACAAGCCAGGTGATAATAAAATTCCAAGTTGTAAATACTGTTTGTGTTTGAAATAAAGCACATGTATAAAAAAAAAAAAATTATAATAACATTTTGAAATAAAAACAGATGCACTATATTGAAAAAAATTACAACTTACCTGTTGGCCCTAGAATAAAGTAGACTGTTCTGTATAGCAAAAATGCTTACACTCTCCATTTTTTTTTACATATTCCTCCGGTTAAAATTGTTTAATGCAGGCAACAGAGTGTCATTATTATCTGAGAGTTTGTTCAGGAGTGACTATTAAAGGAGGCTCTCAGATAAATTTGACAATGATTTCCAGTCCGTACTGCGCAGGCTCAGCACCCTAATGTTTATAAACATTATAAGGCTCACTCGATGGAATGCAAATTGATGTTATTCATTACGAACCATACATGTATACCTTATCTTTGAGGCCTTTCAAATTCTTTTTCCAACAGCTTCATTGATATTTACAGCTGCAAAGTTGTTTCATCAAGTGATATGAGAAAGAATGAAGCATAAAGCTTTGACTGCTTCGCATCGATAATGGGGGTTGGTTTGAAACTTTGAAATTACTTCATGTAAGTAGTTGCAAAATGTTTACATTTTGTGATGTCTTACATGAAGCAAAACAAAAAA